ACATAAACTTGTCTAATCACTATGTTGTATACCTGAAACTGTGTCAAGTATACTCAAATAAAAATTGTTAAAAACTTTAAAGATGGTTTTATTTTATAATCTTGTAAAAATATTAATTTTTTGACTCCAAAGTCAAATCAACAAAACGTGGTATGTTCAAAGAACTCTAGCCTCTGTGTCTCCTCCAACATAGTTTCTCCCTCATGCCTAACTGGTAATCATTTAAACAATTATGGTTAAGCCCTCAATTTTTGAAAAATATAAGCAGATACTTTCACAATGTGTGTACGGCCCTCCCCTTCTTGACACACTACAACATACTTTCCTCTAGTTTGCCTTTCTCTTAACAACCTAGTGAGTAGTAGCTGAGTAAATTTTACAGCTACATAGATTCCATTAAATGGATGTACCAGTTTTTTTAACTAATCCCTTAATTTCGATTGTTTTCTGTTTCTGTTTTCTGAGTTGCGCATGTCTTTTCATTTTTTGTAAGACTGTGTTTGGGATAGATCCCTAGAAACTGGATTGCTAGGTCAAAGCATCACTGTGTATGTATATAATGCTGCCAGCTATTAAAACTACATAGGGCTATTTTGCAATGACCACCAGGGAATGTTGGAGACTGTTTCCCTATAACTTATGTTAAGAAAGTATGTTGTCAGATTTGGAATATTGCAAACCTATAGAGAAATGGTTCACTTCATACACTTTTAATTTTATTTTTCTTAATTTTTTTTCTTATTATGAATAGGTAATCTTTTCACATGGTTAAAAACCATTTGCAGTTTCCCTTTGATTGGTCTACTCATTTCTCTGGCTCAGTTTCTATAGGGTTGTTGGCCTTTATTTTAGAAACAAGCCAATCATTTTAGTCAAAATATAGTTTTCAACCCTCTAATCATGTAACTTCTCAGCACGTATTTTTTCTTGAAAAGTAGTGACTGGCACAAAAATTCCAAATGCAGTTATATCAGCATCAAACAGGAGAGAAAAAACACTGGGCTTGTCATCTACTATCCCCTTGTCAATTAGAAAGCAAATTCTGCACCTTATATGCTGAGACATTGCTTAGAATTGAGATTTTCCTCTGCTCATAAGCTTGTCTTCTCCATCCGACATTCAACTAATGACTTCATCGTCCTCAACTGCTTAGCTATGTCTGACAGGACAACCATACACATGTCTCTGTAATACTGGTTTTCAGTTGTGCAGCCAACTGTCTAGGTACAAGCCACTTAAACCAAGCTACCTCAAATTTTTTGGAAAATGGCAAGACATTAATAAGTCAATACTCAGGTCATTTACCATTTCCTACTCTACTTCCTTGGCTATAATATAAAGCAGCTGGAGAAAATGATACTTACAATCTTATCAAAGTGTTAAATTATCTGGTCTTATATCATTTCCTTTTCAAACTCTAGTAAAGACTACCCAAACTGCCTTGAAAGTGTAGCTCCAAGTAATTTTTCCAAGTTCACTCTCCAGTTCTTCTCAAAATTTCTTCTACTCATTAATCCCCGAAGACTTCCCGTGCCTTGTTTTATATACCCCTTGTTTTCAGAGTGTGGGCTTTAAGCCAGAAGCACCAGCATTGCCTGGAAACTCAGAAATGCAAATTCTTGGGATCAATCCCAGATTTATGGACTCAAGAAACTGGGGCAGAGGCCCAGCAGCATGTACCTCACAAAATCCCCCATCCCTCCCTGTGACTGATGTATGCTCAAGTTTGAGAAAGCAATGACTTAGACTAATCTTAACCACAATTCTTAGATGCCCTTGCTAAAGCTATTAGCTTATTACACTTTATATAATACCAAGGTTAAGTTCCAGCTGTTTTTTCACGTTTATGGTCTCCCCAAGTAAACTATAAAGAATCAGGTCTTTAACTCATTGTCAAACAACAGTGCATAGTTTTAGTCATGTTCCAAAGTTTGCAAAACCGTAACTACATATGGCTTGATTTGCTTTATTGTTGCTTTGAAAATATCTCAATTAAATGTCTCAGTAACAGTTACGTGAAGGCAGTCTTACAGACCATGTAGCAAAACTGAATTTGTTTGCTTCAGCCAATTATCACAAATCTGCTGTTTAAAGCCTCATTCTGGGAAAGTGCAGATGAAGCTCCCAGTAGGCTCAGTAATGGCCCTCCAAGAGGTCCATGTTCTAACCTCTGTGAATATTACCTTATGTGACAATAGGGAATATATAAGTGACTAAGGATTTGACATAGGGAGATTCCCAATCACCCAGGTGGACCCAACGATGTCCTTAAGAAGAATAAGAGGGAGCAGAGGGAGACAAGATGACCAAAGAGAGAAGACAGGGTGACAGGAAGAGAGACTTGAAGATGCTACATTTTTTGGCTTTGCAGAAGGAGGAAGAATTCCAAAGAATGCAAGGAATACAATTCCCGGAAGTTGGAAAAGGCATGAAGAAAGGTTCTCCCCTAGAGCCTCCAGAAGGAACTGCCCTACCAACACTCTGACATCAGCCCGGTGAGACTGATTTTGGACTTCTGGCCTCCAGAACCCTAAGAGAATTCATCTTTGCTGTGCTAAGCCACTAAGGTTTGGTAATTTGTTGCAGAAGCAATAGGAAGCTAATACAAAACTTTTCTGACAAGTTTTTATTGTGAAATATTGGATTTAGAAAAAAGTACAAAATGTCAACAGTCAGATGTGTACAAGTACAATATTTCAATAGTCTATACATGTGAACAGCTTACCAGGTTCACTGCAGAATGCATCTTGAGACCAATACAATCTAAAAAGGACTGCAATATTCACAGGCTATTAATACATAAATAACTTGGGCCAAAATGACCCTCACTGGTAAATGCTAATTAAGAGCGGAAAACGGGCTAAAAAGCACAATACGGCACACCATAGTATCTCCTTACAGGTCCACATTTAAAGAGTATCAGCTCATTATGTCAATACACTACAGATCCAGGACTGGGACTCAATTACTAGTTTATACAATTGCAAAAAAATTAAGTTATAAAATACGGTCATGGAATAAAGAGAAGGTATTTAATTAAGACTAAATACTGTGAAGCCCCTAAAAGGTTTTAGCCTTGGAATTTACAAAGCTTAATTATTTAAACTGGTTTTCAATTTTTAATCTGTTTCGTAAAAAAGGGGGAAGGGGCACCTTGCTTTTTTTTAGTAGCAGCTCCAACAAGTTATAAGAATTATTACATAGTTTATTTTAAAATCATAATGACCACTGTGGAGATAAATGGCTATGAAACCAGAATATAAAACATTATAAATTTTAAAGAAAGGTAATGACTATCTTATGAATTTAGCAAATCCTGCAAACATTAAAATCTGTGTTAAGAAGGCATTATCCACCATTGTTGAGAGTACTAAATTTAGGAAGATTATTGCACGAAGAGCTCATAAAAATAAACTGGTTTAAGTTTCCAAGTCCGACTGATTCAATCTTTTCTATTACTTCAAAATTACCCTAGATTATACGTTTTCAAACTGGACAAAGAATTATTTGGTATCAATGTATAACAACAAGCTATAGGAATAATCTCCTAAAACATCAGTTATGTTAAAAACAGTTATAATCATCCTGTGTTCCCAGGAGATGATCTTTGACCTGACATTCATAATCATTGCTTGTTTAAAAACAACTTAAAAACTAATAAATTTAATAATAGTTTACTTAAAACAAATTTATTCTTGCCCATAAATTCCTAAGAAGAAACTCTCTTCCACTCTATACAGTGTATCTAGCAATGCCTGATGTTTTAAAATTGAACTAAAAGTCTGAACTGGCTTTTATCAACGAGGAGATCAAATCCATTAAAGGCTGAAAACCACTGGATCAGAAAATAATTAGTCAATAACTTTACATAACCTATCCCAACCTACCTTAACCATTTATAGACAATTTTAAAGACTCTGATATAATTTTCTTATAAATAGTGCCTGTATCTTACAGTAGATTCCAATTTATTCAAATATAATCATGGATTGATTTAAGTTATTTAAATTTTTCCAGATTTGCTTTAAACTTACAAATCAAGTATGGTGTACATAAATATTAACTTAACCACATATTATAGGGAAAGCAGATATATGGACCCCTGCAGAAAAATTATAAATTTTAAAAAAACTTTTATAAAACAAAAAGAAAGCAAAATAAGTAACTCGCAAGATATGAACACGAAGCCATAGGACATAAAAAATAAAATTACTCTATCAAATGATTTAAAATTAAATCTTTGGGGAAGTATTTTTACATAATTCAATGAATTCAGTGACCAACAGCTTGTCATATCACATACAAACAAACCACAAAATCATCTAGAGTCTATATGCATTATCAGTTCTTAATGCAAACTCAAAACATTTTACTAACAACTCTGATTTCCTTTTGAAATAGGCTTCTGTACATATCTGTTTATATACAAACATTTATTAAACATGATTTTAAAACAAACCGTTATGTACAAAAGATCGGCATTCCTATAAATAAAAACATTAGGTGGCAAAAAGGCACTTGTAAGTAAAAATCTACAGTAGTTTGTACAAAACAGAACACATTTTACCTTGGATACTGTACAATAAACATTAATTCCTATACGAATAATGAAAATTCTAGTTTACTAATGTTAATGATGTAACTTTTAAAAACATATTTACATATACTCTGAAGTTCATTTAATAAAAGCACCATGATTTTCTCCTAAATATGTTGATGCAAAGTAAAAACACAATTGCCAAAAAACCAGTGTTCACCATTTTCCTTGTTTAAAAGTTTTTGTATTTCTAAATTGAAAACTGTTCATCTGAAATTAGCATAGTGTAAAACACAAAACGAAACCAACCCAAAACCCTGCTTCTCTGACTTCTGAAAACCGTAATCTACTCTATTATTGCCTGTTGCATTTTATAAAGAGCACTACTCATGCACTCCTTTACAAGTGTTTAATACTATTGCTGGCAAAAAAGTTCCTGGATATCAAATAATTAAAAAGTAACTTCAAGCCAGTTGAAGTTTTATTTGAACGTTTTACAACTTAAAAAATGCTGTATATCAGTTACAAAAGTGAATAGGAAACACGCCAACTCATTTGGTGTGCAAAAATATTTCTCCACTACACAGAATTTAAGGGCTTCACAGAATGTTTTTCAAATATACATCTTCAGCAGAAACACTACATGAAAAACTACTTTCTCAAGGGGATGTTAGTACGCTTCCACTTTTGTCAAACTTTTTACCCTTTGACAATGCTGCGACCTGTTTGAGTAGTTCTCTGTTTTTGGCCTGTAGGAGAAAAAAACATTTAAGATGAAAAAGGTTTGAAATATTAAGTCATGCTGAAGAATACTACTTATTTAATGCTGTTCTTTTCACTTATAGAACAAGATTTCATTGAAACAGTTAGGATAAATGAAATAGTTGGTATATTTAGGTTCCTCTCTTTAATGCTGGATACGGAGAAGGAAAATTCTACATTGGTTTATCACCTCCCCCTTTGTAAATGTCAAAGTAATTGTTGTCCAAAGATATAATCAGTTAGAAACAAGGCAACTTAGAGTGAAATCCATTTAAAAGAGGGTCAAGTTTTAATTAAGTAAAAAATGTTTGGTTCCTTATCTTAAAAACATTAAATGAAAACTATGAAAATAAATTTTATAGTTAATGACTTAAGTGATGACTTGGGAGGAATACTGCCCCAAAAATGTACCGAATCTTTCAGATGACGTTTATCTATTTATAGAATAAGCACAAATGTCCTTTTTGCAAAAATATTCACTCTTTATCACTTTGCCAAAGGGACTTTCTCAACTTAATGCTATTCAAACAACTTTTTTTGAAGCACCCTTTCTGATCTTATTAGTGTTTAATTGCCGTAACAGTAATTTGGTACTGGCTTTGATGTAATTTGAACATTTACACACCATCATTGTTTTCAGATTTGTGAAAGGCTGAAATTTTTCTTTAAAGATTCAAAATTTCACTCTGCCCTTGATCTGAACTGTTCGTGCACATCATGCAAACGTTCCACCGACCACTGGCAAAGACACTGTCCTTGAAACAATGCACTATGACAATCACCAGTGTTTAGTGAGGAGGAATGTGTAAGGAGGGACGACCTTCAAGTGAATATTTTCATGTTCTGACAGTCTTTGTCTCTCTGTGCAATCTCTTGACTGTGGAAGCAGAGATAGTAAGGGCCCTCCGTATCTATAAATACATTCATGATCAAACACCCTTGGAGTTTCGGAGTCCAAATGTGGAGAGTGTGACAATGGACTGGAATCTGAGCACTGCCCCAAGAACAAAACTGCCCCAAGAACAAAATGTCTCCACTAGTTTAGGGAGGAAAACCATTTATTTTCCTTCACAAGTCTCAGGAATCTTTATTATCTAGATATACTTTTTAACCTTGGAGCTTCGTCTTCTCTCATTTTGGCCTCTGTAGGGCAAGAGAACACCCTGCCTCCTCTCTGTGGCCCATCTTAAACCCGTTTCATGAAACATAAACCTTTTCCAAATTCTGAACTTCGTCTCCCCCACCTTTCTTCAACCAAACTCTCCCCAATTAATACCTATTTCCTTCCAAATGCAAATATTTATAGATTTCGTATCTGCAAATCTAATCATTTTGTTTGGTTGCATATACAGCATTTCTCTCTATCCAACAGTTGTTAAATAAGGTGGTAATTAAAAGAGTTCTAATTTCAAATTCAATTTCAATTTTAAATCTAGAAAATCATAAAGATTTAAAAGGATTTTTGTTTTCTCTTTAAAATTAAACAGTTTGAGAAATTCAGAGGACAAATAACGAGAACGTCTGGTAGCTAGCGGTGAGTCAAGTGAGTACACTCATGATCAACTGGTTTATTACTTGGGTGACCAGTCTTCGTCAATGTAATAGTTTTAAATTATTTTCTTTCTATTGTTAGCTATATGTTATTTAACTTATAATAGACTCTTGCTAAAAACAAATCTTAACAGAAATTTTAAAATACAGATTAATGAAGGACATAAAAAAACTATACATTTGTACATGTGCCTCAAAGAGACTGCCATCAGACCTCTAAGTTTTCTTTATACAAAACCTTTTATAGTGACATACCAAATCATTAAAAAGTTAATATTCAAATTATCTTTTCTCAGTCATCAATTAGAACATCAAACACAAAAATCAAAGAGTTTATAATTTTCATATTCTAAGTATAAAACACAAGAACATTAAGTGTTGAAAGCAGTTTTTCCTTTTCATTGTTTAGCAGCTAATTTTCACTTTGCATTTATATATTCAGTTTCCTAATCACATCACTAATAAACTTAGTTGCTGATAAATTATGTAAGAAAAAAGCCTTTAAGAAAAATAAACAGTGCATCAGTTGTTAAATGGAGACAAGCCCAAATGTGTATTATTCTAATTTAGGTACATTAAAAACATACTTTATAATGCAATACTTAAATACGTATGCACTTAAAATTTTTATCCTAACGTTACTTCTTTATTATGCACCCTGAAAAAAATCATTTAAGACTCTTAATAAGTTAAGCTAAAAATGTTTAGAAACACTGGCCTAAAGGAAAGACTTTTTGCTACAAAAACCTGCAGTTATTTTCTCATATGTAAAACAGAAACATTATTACCCCAAGAGGTGTTGAAAGCACTAATCAAATATATACAACACTTAGCCTAACACAGAGGCTGATACATAGTAGGCACTCAAATCTTAGTCCCTTCCCCCCCTTTATTAACTTAGCTCCTAAACAAAAGGTAGAATTCTTTATTTGCTAGTTTTTTGTTTTAGACAACTTAGGTTGTATATTTTGGTATTTTGCATAATTTCCGCATAATTTTACCTTGTGATGCTCAGATTAAATCCCAGTTTTAATAGTTAAAAATGTTTTGAGAACTTTTAGAACAAAGTAAGTTTTCTGCTACAGGGTTCAGTCTTTTATCACAAAAAGATAAGTAAAATAGTTAACTATGTTTACACACCTAGGCAGAAAACCCTACTTGTAAAAGAGGGCATACAACTATAAGAGATTGTCTCCAGCAATAACACAAAAGATATAGGGAAGTGGTCTGCTAACAAGGGTTAAATAGAACCTGAGTGACCTGAGGTGGTAGGAACACAGCAGAAAGTATAGTTTAATCTGAGTCAGAAGATGTAGGTTTCTATGTCAGTTCTGATTAATTATATGACCGTCATTTCATCTATAAAATGGGAACTCAAAGTTACTGTAAAGAGTAAATAAGACAGCCTATGTAAAGTCAGGTTAGAAATGTCATACTTCTATATAAACATTAGTTGCTATTCTATTCTATGAAACCTCAGCTACAGACCAAGAAAACTTAGCCTTAAGATACCAATCAGGCTAAGATGTCAAAGAGAAGGTCCCCTGTGCTTACAGCAATAAAATAAAACAACAAATTGCTATTTTGGACAGTGAGAAGTACTAAGTTTTATCATAACCTTAAGTATTGCTCACAGTTTTTCTGTTACCTCAATTCCAGATTTACTTGAGTTTTGGTTACACCACATTAAATCAGAGATCATGCAGAAGATTCTGTTGCCAGGTAATCATTCAGCATTAATAAGTGAATGAGAAAAATAAGAATATCATAAAGCAAATATTTGCTGGTGGATGATAATGTACAAGAACCCAAGTCATATGGGTAATTTTTCAGGACAGAGGGCAGATGGACATTTCCATAAATTAACACTCATTCAACAAACTGAGTGCCTACTATGTGCCAGATTCCACACAAGGTTTCCCTTTAAAACTGTTTGTAAGATCAGCATTAAGACTAAGACTATAACTCAAATTTCAGCAGTTTCCTAAGTCCACTTTACAACTTTATTCAATTTAAGCTACCTTCAAAGAAGTATGAGGAATACAAACCAAAAGATAGGAACAGCACATATACCCTGAGTCTACAATGATTAAAAACCCAGGTCAGTATTAATCCCTTCCTTCTCTAGCTGCACTTTCCCAGTAAGTCTGCAGTCTATGAGCTGGCACGCATCCTCTATGCTTTTAAAGCTTAAAGCTAGTGAACTTTAAAAACCCTGTTACCCAAAGACTAATTCTCAAAACGTCAGAATGTATAAATCAACAGAACATGTAATTAATTTAGTGTGGTCTGATTTCTAAATTTATGAGAGCTAGGTGAGAAAAGGCTTAAATAAGGGAATAATCCATGTCCCTGCTGGATACTGTCCATCTATGCAGGCTGGACATCAGATACTATGGGAACCCTGGGCTTCACCAGTTGTACATATAGTAAAATCCTCCTGAGTATACTTTGCAGTAATCTTGGAGGCTGCCCTTGGCCTAGATCACTAGAGGCTGCCTGCTGCAGCACACAGCAGAATCCTGTTGAACACCTTGAAAATCACAGGACTAAGGTTAAAGTGCACTCTTTTGCCTTTTATCACTGCATGTGGCATGAATTTCCTCCACTTGAGGTCCCTAAGAATTGGTTGGGTATGCCCACCTTACACTATCTGGGAGGAAATGGGAAGGATGCTTATACAATGTACTAAAGACCTTATTTTCTCCTTAGTTTCACGAATCCAATTTTTAATTTTTTGCTGTCACCCAATGATCAACTAAACATACTCCATTGGTATCCTCCTCTGAAAACTCCGTATCAATTTTAGACAGTTGTTTTCAGAATTAATAGACTGAATCCCCTATCAGGTGATTTCAAACAGTAACACTTAATGGAAGCAGGATTAAGTAGTATTATAAAGTGAAAATCAAAGCTGAAAAAGCACCAAATACACATAAAGTAGGCAAACCAATATCAGTCCAAGACAATACTACTGACTAGTACTAGTAAGCAAGGTTAGCTCTCCTTGCATAACAGTTTACATAAATGTTATTTACCTGAAGTTGTTCCACAGTTTCTTTGTGAGCTTTTTCCATACTGTTCATCTTTGTTCTCAAATTTGACTCTTGGTACTGAAAGTCCGCCTTTAGTTCAGTTAGCTGAGAGATAAACAGGCATATATATGTATATGCAAGTGTAATATATATGAGCAGAAACACATCATTTTCAACATACTTCATTATAACATCACAATTCATAACAGAAGTGGAATATATTAGCAGTTTTCTGAGTCTTATAACTTATTCGGAATTCATTTTGTGAAACAAAATTCTATCTACTACAGTGTATTTTAATGGTAAGATAATACCAAATTGTCAGTAAAACTTTTGAGAAGATGCCTTTTTTGTTTCAATTTAAAGATGGTTTCACTGGACATAGAGTTTGGCACCTAGTATGCCAATAAGGCTTAATAGCCAATACCAGAGGGAAATGCTTCAATTACAACATACTTCCCACTATACATAAGCAAACTGAATGTTAAAAGTGGTTTCAGGTTAAAATAATCTTTTAATGAGAAAAGAAGGTCTCACAGCGGGTGAAGTACGAAGAGGAATGATTTTAACAACCACGAGGCACACTACCTCTACTTTAAAATTTATGTCCAGAATTATGTATCTAATACCACCTAAGACTTGAAGTAAAATGGAGAACAAAGTATAGAAATACAACTAACGTGAAATGAGAAAGAAAAGGGTTACTTTAAAATTTTGGCTAAATTAGACAAATGTAAGAAAAAAGTCAGTGGTCTGAGGAAACTACATTCTTTTCTTAAGTATCAGTGATATACATAAAAATAAAAAATCTTTATGACCTCAAACTGAAAAATAAGTTCATATTATATCATTTCATTATTTCTTCATGGAGAAGAAAATTTTGGGTTATTTTCAAATGGTTTTCGTTATATGTGCTTTAAAGGTCTGCAGGTTCTGTTTTGTAATTACCCAGTAGCCAGTAACCTCAAAGATGTAGAACAGCAAAAAGAAAAAGGAATCATGGTGTATTATATTCTTATTGTCTGAATAAAAGCCCTTGCTTTTGCCAAATTCAAAGAATAACTGAATTCTCTGTTTTCTACATTACAAAGGAATTCCTGTTCTGAAATGTCAATTCACATCAGATCAGCTAAGATAATTATTCTTGTCACTCCATTGTGTGTTGCCTTCAGATTATGAATTTCTGGAAGATAAGAATCAGGTCTGATTTATTTATTCATCATTGAATCCTCATGATCTAGTACATGGCTAGCTCTAGAAGCCACTGAATAAAGTGAAATAAATTCAAGAAAATGCCTTGGTTATCTTACATTTATATTATAAGAAAAAATAGCAAATATGTAGCTATTTTAGGCTTAGAATTATGTTCCTTTATAATGTTCCTATCATTATTTCTTTTCTCATTTGTGTTTTTTTTAAGAAAAGGAATGCTCACAAAAGCAGAAAACTTCCAACAAACTGCACTAACACAGAAGAGTCATGCCATGAAAAAAAAAATCTAACAATTCGTTTGGAATTGTTCTGTGGCCAACTTACTGTTTTATTCAACTGTTACCTAGATTAATACAGATAACTTTTTATGCAATAGCAATGTCTCTAAAATTTTGTGCATAAAATAAATTTTCATAAAAGCTCCATAATTCAAAAAATTTTGTTAATTAAAAAGAACCATAAAAATCAGGCAATCATTACTATCTTTTTATCTTACATCAATCCTAAATTTCATATACTGAATTTACCTAAAATGCCAAAAGAAAAAGCTCAGATTCAAGCAACTATGGATACTCAGAGACTGATAATTCACACACATATTTATAGTTATGTGTTATTCATAATTTTAAAAGGAATGTGTTTAATGTTTTCCTATTTCATAAGATGTTTGAAGTAAGTCAAACTAAATAGTTTAAGACTATAAACAAGTACAAAAATAGGTTCTGCCCTCAAAGATGACCCAACATCAATAACAGCAGCTATGAATACTCAATATGTGGCAGGAGCTATTACTACTACATACTTTCATGTAATCATAACAACCATCTCATGAGATGGTATTAATACTCCCATTTTTACAATGAAAAAAACTGAGCACCGAAAATGTGAAAGTGTTCTGTTCAAGTTCACACACAAAATGTTAGAACTTTTCACTAAACTGACAACATATTTGCTATTCATTTTTTTTTAATTGTTTTATTCATTTCTGAGAGAGACAGCGTGAGCAGGGGAGGGTCAGAGAGGCAGCGAGACATAGAATCTGAAACAGACTCCAGGCTCTGAGCTGGCTGTCAGCACAGAACCCGATGAGGGGCTCAAACCCAAGAACTGTGAGATCATGACCTGAGCCGAAATTGGACACTTAACTGACTGAGCCCCCAATATTTGCTATTCTTAATCTAACTGATAAACAAAGTCCTAGAAAGTATACTTACTTCCTACAAAATGGTCTTAGACACCTAATGCTGATCACTGACTACCACACAGAAAATTCCCTGTGGCCTAATTTTCACGAGTTATTTGATATGGAGTGAGATACATACATAATTGGTATTTCAAAGACTCAATTATCCTGTTAAATCATAAAACTTCACATAATATTCCATTCACATGTCATTTTCAAATTAAGACATCAGGACTATTTCTAAACTACAGGTTTACTGAAAACTAATGTTCAAAGGTTATTACAATTCTAATTAGCCCTCAGTTAATTCTTACAACTAAAATTCTGAAAGACCATTTTTACCCATCTTCATTAGATGGCTTATGTTCCAGTTTGGCTTCTGTAATGTGTCTTGTAAGAATCATGCACAACATTACCAAATTATTAAAGTCTAATAAAATCTGCAATTATCCAGCAAAAGTCAACATGTAAATCTTACCAGGCTTCAGTGAACCATGTCCTTACCTTTTTATCTTTTTCTAAAATGGTCTGGTCTCTCTGCTGTAAGAGACGTTTAAGTGACATCACTTCTTCTTTCAGTTGACTTATAAGGACAAAATTGTCTGTTCCCCCACTATCTGCTGACTGATTTATAGAGCTACTAAAAAGAAAAAAGTAAAACACAGTTAAATGAAGTAGAAGGAAAATTAGCAGGTGTTCAAATTGCATAAATTAGACAATTCCACAAACATCCTTAAGGCTAATGCAAAAAAATATGTACCTGACAGAAATGGATGCAACTGGCAAATTACCTTACTAATGGCACACATTACATACACCTGCAGAAATATAATTCAGTATTAGCTTTTAGGGGGTCAATACTTCTAGTGTAAAGCAATAGGCAGCCAATTTGTACAGTAACATCAGCAAACTTTTGGCTAATGAACTAAAACAAACTCACGCTCATAATACTTTAAATTTAAATACATTTTCCAAGCAGGTCAGTTTAAAATATCACATTAGATTTGTGTTTCACTGAAGAATAATTAAGATAATGTTCTATTCTATTCAGATCTGTTTTCCTTTTTTTATTTTTTCAAAACCCAAATTTATTCCCCAAAGAGAACAACAGTTCAGTGCCACTTGCTTATTGCCAAAATTAAATTAAAATTTTTAAGCGGATTATGGTTACTCTTTTAGGTGACTCCAAAAAGTCAATGTAGAAGATACATGTTTCTATTCTTTTACCTAGTAATAGCTGGCAATCAACCATAACTGTTCAACTAACTTGAATTTTCATAGCGCTAAAGGAATTCATTTTTACCTATCTCCGTTAGATGGCTTAGATTCCAATTTGGGCTTTTTCTTTGGAGTTTCATTCTGAATTGCTGCAGAGGATTTATGGCTGAAACCAAACATTAACAAGAATAATTAGAGTAAAAAGGGCAGAGGCACCACATGACAATTCTTCTTCCTCTAAAATATTACTGAACATCATTGATTTTTTTAAAAGTGTAAGTAACAAAGTTAAAGGGAGGTCATGTTAGAAAGAAAGTAAGTGCTTCAGAAAATATGTTAACATATTTACCTCTGTTTCCACAGTCCCTGCTCTTGTTCTGGACTCAGATTGCTGATTCTGAAAAATACATAAATGACAACTAACAACAACATTCATTTAATACATCTACGCTTAACAACATTCTTCCCAATGGACTCAAATTACACAGGTTTAGAATGTTTTATTCAGAAAAGACCTATTTAAGTTTTCAAACTAAGCTAATATATGTTGAATGAATCTAATTCTAGTGAGAAAAGTTCTAATCAAATAAGTACTAACAATCTTAAGTTCTTTAACAAAGGTATAGCGATAGGGATTAAATTCTCTTCACCAGGATAAGGTTCTACGATTATAAAGTTGGACAGTCCTCATAGTTAGGTTGCCCTTACTACCTCAGACAGAAAATGTTTCTTCTTTAAAGTTAAGGCCTTCTTAATAATCCTATATGAGGATTTCTCCTTTGGAGTAACTCATGTTGCTCAGAATAGTGTGTCAACTTGAACCAAGAAATGTCTCAATTTGTTTCTTTCCTAGTTTTCCTTAGAACCCTTTCCAAAGTTCTCCAGATCTTTCTCCGGTCAGTACTCTTGAAGACTCATGCTGGAAAAACTGAGAAACTTCACAGTAAAAACGGATTTTACTTTTACTTACAATTAAATGCTGTATTACAAATTCTTTCCCATTATGCCATAACACTAATAACTGCTTTATAACTCACTATGACTCCTACATGCTTTTCTCCTGTACTTGTGTATCAGCCAATCCTGCATTAATCCCTAGTTTGATTCATGTACAGAGCATCTCCTATGTATCAGATGCCACATATTTATACAATATAAGGTGTTAGAGAAGACCTGGGCTTTCTGTCAGTTACTTAAAATTCCTGAGCCTTAGTTCCCTTATCTGTAAAAGGGGTATGATATATACCTTGTAAGAGTATGAGACTTAAATCAGTTTAGACATAAAAGCACTTCACACAGTACTAGTGTATATATAATAAGTAAAAATACATATATATATGTATTTGTATATAAAACTCACTATTGTAGCTGTAGAAGTTTTTAAAGCAAAAGTAAAAAAAAAAGTCACACTATGTTCTTTGGAATCAGTTATAAGATAAATACCAAATTGGAAAAATAATGTCGTAATTCTATAAACTTGAGTTACTCTCTATTTGTGGCAATAAATGGCAACCCTACTGAGGAATTCAGTTACCATTTCTTTCACAAATTTAATTATAAGCATCAGCAAGCCATATAACCACACATTAATAGCACTAACCATATCTCAACGTGATGTGGAACAGTTTGCATGTTCCAATCACATTAATAACATGAGAACAATCACATTTATAATAATTTAAGAAAAACATGTGGAATTCTCATCTTTGTTTTCTGAGGTGGCCATTCCTGGATCCAGACTGACCTGTTTTTGCTCTCCTCTATCCCCACCCATCACTATATATCACAATATGTATGCTCCTCATAATCGTTCCTATATAGTGAACTTAAAATAGGACCTCACAAACTGTCTACTCATCAAATAGTCTATGTCCATCAAATACAAAACAGTAGAAAGGAAAAAAAAAAAAAGTAAGGTCAATACCATCTTTGTTCCCTTTACTTTTGAAACCTGTTATTCTTTCAAAAGATGAAGTCACTGTCACAGAATGTGATCTTCATAAACATACTCAAAGTGTGTCCTATCACATGCTAAGAAAAATGTATAGAGAAAAGGAATGCTTCAGTTGAGTTTTAGGAGTAGGTCTGACAGATGCCATTATGTTAGTTATTTTGCCATATGTTTTCTTAAAAAAGCAGAAACAAGATGAATGTTCCTTTTGTTCCCTGGAATATTCTGACAGAAACACCAGAAGTTTTCTTCAGAATAGCCAGATTAGAAGTCACTGCCCACTCCACTATTGTGACATCCAGAAAGCACGACGACAGGGTAAGAAAAGTGGGAAAAATGTCACTGAAGTAAACATCAATACCTCAATAAAACCCCGTAACAATTTAGAATCCAATCTTGTTAATTAGACAGAACTATATTATATTCTAATTTTTTAGAATTGTAGGCATCAATTTTTCTGTAAATGAATTTATGTTTTACCTATCTAGACCTTTAGAGACTCACAGAGAATTCTGGTGAAAAATAAATTCTTCTGAAAACTGGTTATCATGTCCCTGTTTTCTCCATTTTAATTTGTATTTAATTTATGCTTTAATATTCTTGATTTTTCCATGAAGACTAAAACCACAGTCAAAACAACTTCATACTACACACATACTACTACTATTTAATGTTTTCCTCCTAAGGCACTTTAAAAATCAAGTAGTTGTTAATATTTGAATGGAATTCCTGCCTATGTGTTTTAAAAAAGAGCAAAGTACTACTAGTTTAAAAGATTATTTTTCACATACTTTTGGAACCTTCAGAATTTAGAATGCTTCTATTATGATCACAAGTGACAGTCTTTTAATCTGTTCTGCAAAAACACTGAATGTATATCTCCTAGTCTCTGATTTAATTTAAACAAATTACAAATTAATGATAACTGATAAACATTAACTCCATGTGACTGTGACTTGTATTTATAACTGTAAAAATAATTTTTACAAGTAAAATCCTAATAATTACTTAAACAAAAAAAGAATATTGAGGCCTTTTATAACATAAACCAAAGAAGAATTAACTAACTCTGATGTACTTGTATTCTAACTTAAAATAATAATTTTATATAATAATTCCTTAAATGCTCTATCTTTTTTACGGTAAAGAGCTAAACACACTCCTGTATATAATTTTATACAGGCTTACCTCAAAGGTATTGTGGGTTCTGTTCTAGACCATGCAATAAAAAGAATATTGCAATAAAGTCAAATAAAACTTTTTGTTTCCCAGTGCACAGAACTTACATTTATACCATACTATAGTCTAGTAAGTGAGCAATAGCATTACATCTAAAACAATACATAAACTTTAATTAAATTATTGCTAAAAAATACTAATGCCATCCGAGTTGTCAGCAAGTCATGAATCACTAATCACAGATCACCAGATAAAAAGGAAAAAATTTGAAATACTGTGAAAATTACCAAAATGTGTCACAGACAAATGGAGTAAATGCTGTTGGAAAATGGTGCCCAGAGACTTGTTCAATGAGGCGTTATCACAACCTCTCAATTAGTAAAAAACACAGTATCTATGAAACACAATAAAGGAAAATGTAATAAAACGAGGTGTGCCTGTACACTAAATAGAGTCGGGAAAAAGCCCTAGACTCTAAAAAGCTTACTATGTACAATGTAAACTAGTATCTGCAAAAAGTTAAACACTCATAGAGGTCATTAAAATGCCAAGAGGATTTTAGAAAATATGACTTCAAGGTACTTACTTGTGATGGCTACTGCTGTGACGATGGTGATGGTGATGATGGTGGTGATGATGTTTTGAATGATGCTGGTCTTTCTCAGTAAGAGATGAAGAAGATGAGTTTGAATGTGAAGATCCCAGGCTCTTTCTCTGTTCTTTTGTCTTCTGTAAAACTCTCTTGTATGATAAAGTACAGAGCCAGCATAATAACTTTCCATCAACCTTTTTAAAGAAAATATTTGTATTACATTAAACATACCTCTTAACTGAGTATAAGTGAAAGCAGGCAAGATAAACTATCCAGTTTTTAGTGTGTGTACAATCACGCTCTCACTCACTATCTCTGTCTCTCTCTCTCACACACACACACACACACACACACACACACACACACACACTGAGATTGTTACAAAATGGAAATAAAATTAGATTTCACTGAAACTTCAGAAAATCCCTGTTTGGCATATCATAAAATTGGTGAGGATGATATGGATCTCCATTAACTTTGGGACATTTTTTAATTTGGAGAAAATTGTTTTCTTATTACAAGGAAAAAACATAAATTGATGATATACTTCAAAGATCTAAACCTAAGGATTGGCCTGAATTCTTAAATCACTGTGTAATTACTAAAATGACAAAGTAGTTCCCACCACAGTGAAAACTGTTAGTTTTAAAAACAAGGTGAGCTTAAATGACATACAGTTGATTCTCATTATTTGCAGGTTTCCTATTTGCAAATTCACCACTTGCTAAAACTTATCTGTAACCCCCCAACCAACTTACAGTGCTTCTGGGATCATTCATGAACATACACATAGCAGCAAGAAATTTTTGTAGCCAGACAGTAAATGTTCCCTGCTGAGGTTTAAGAAGGTGACACTGCTGCCTTCCTCTTTCCTCTTATACCATAAACAGGTGTCCCTTTCACGGCCTATCTAGTGCCATGTTTTCTGCATTTGTGCTTTCTATTGGTGATTCCACTGCTTACAATGATCCCCAAGTGTAGTGTTGAAGTGATGTACAGTGCTCTTTAGCTTAAGAATGCTGTGATGTACCTTATGTAGAAAATACACATCTTGGATAAATTCCATTCAGGCATATAATGCCGTCTGCCATGACTTCAATTTAATCAAACAACAATTTATATCAAGTAAGATACCTTTGAAGAGAAGTATCCACAAAACAAGATTAAGTATTGATCGACTAATCACATTGTGACCAGAGGCAAGAACCTAATCCTGTACTGCCCCCTTAGGAGCAATAGTTCAATATTCGCTAATTCAGTGTTCGCCGAACTTTATAGAACCTAACCACCACAAATAATGAGGATCAACTGTACACGTGTCAAGGGGGAGAGAAAGAGACTTCTTTCCAAAATTAGGACTAAACCTATAAAAATAGGATTTTCTTTCTTCTACTTGTTCACAAAAGAAGTGGAGGGACACGTCTTACAACTAGGGTACATATACTGCTGTGGAGGAACCTGGGGGAGCTTCTCAAAGAGACATCCTCCAAATCAACTGAAACTGACAGACAACAGGAGGCCTGTGTGAATGCTGATCAGCAGAGGAATGCCACAGGCATACATACACTTTTTAAGTCACTGCAGGTAGAGAAAAACAAACAATGGTTGAAAACATAAGCCCCGAATCAAAAGGCACAAGACTAACTTTGAATTACACGTGTTAATGTGCCATCAGGTATTTTTTTCACATCAGCAATTTCAAGTAACCAGCAAAAGGTAAGTAACTAAAAGGATTTAAAAGCAACTGGTAATTCTGAACAAAAGTGGGATAACCAAAAAGTACAGAATAGCCATCACAGAATATTTTTTTAAATATACTAATCTCAACGAATCAACATGAATCTGTATGTGATGCAAACAAGGAGAAAATGCACTGTCCTCGCACTTCCATCTAGCTACTTATTTACAGGGACCCAAAGGATACATCAGGTATTGGTGTATTCATCACAATAACTTCCAACCTGTGTGGTGTTTCATTTAATTCCCAGAAGATATCATAACATAAATACCTTTCTTCTTCCTTCTTCCTTTCGATCAAAAGCACACTGTTGTTTGCACTGTTCACAGGTCTGAGGTGGTCCGTATTTTTTTTCTGAATTTGTACAACGCTGACACTTTGTACCAATAAATGCTGCAATTATGTTACAGTACTGACAAGGCTTAGGCTGAAAAAGAGATAGACATTTTAACTGAGACATTGAAAAACATTAAAAATTTACCCAGTAAAATATATACCCGTGTACAGACATATTTCTCAGAATTAAGGAAATAGGTAAAAAGAATTTTCTGTCAAGTATGTTGCTCTCTCATATTTCACATTTATCACGTTCCCTATTTATTTATGAACACTTGTTTCTAGACTCATGCAACTTTTTGTTAACTCTATTGAATAGTTCAATAAAATCATGGAAAATGTATTTATTATTGGATAGTATGTTGTAAAAGCTACATGTAAAAAAGCTCTCAAAGACTTAAAAAGGTACACATTAATACAAAAGTTTCATATATCCAGTATGTAGGAGCATGAACTAATTCAACATCTTGGTTAGCTTAATTACAGTTTCATTTATTAAAAAAAAATTTAACAACTTCATCATGTACAGGTATAGACGATGAAACGAATATACATTATATGTGAACTTTCAACTTAAGAACCAACACAACCATATTCAACCTAAATTACAACAAACATACCTTGATTTTCTTTGATACTCAAAAGACAATTCAGGATTTTACAGAACCTTAAGGCCAGCACTTTGACTAATCACAACTGTACTACACTAATGACTGTAATATACATGCAAAAATTTTTTTTTCTAGAATAATGTCAAGACATTTGTGAATAAATGCTTAATTGTGCTGTTACATAAAAACTGTCAGAGGTTCTGAAGACAGGACAAAAGTGTGATTATGCAAACTTTGGATAAGTAGGTTCTCCATAACGAAAAGTTTGTTTTCTGTGTTTGAATCTTTACATAATAAAATCATAAATTTCACACTGAAATTCAATATACACATGCACATAAAATGTCTTTATTATGTTGTCATCTTCCAATCAGACTGTCTACAGAAAATTTCTTTCCTGAAATATTTTAATGTGTTGAATATTTAAGGACACAGCAATACATATTTTTTTTTTTTACAAAGTCCATCTTTGTGAAAAACTGACTAGTAACAGTAAAAATAAAAATGTAAGACATACTTACCGTGCCAAATTGTTTCACATTTTGAGCACACTTCTTACAAATTGTATTAGTTTTGCTGAAAAGGAAATTGAAGATAGATGAGCAAATTTACATAGCTGAGGTAATTAATACACCGCCAGACTAAAGCAAATATAGTTCGGATTTGACTGTTTGCGTTAGTAGTTCTTAAAACTTACTCTAAGATAGACCAAGGATCTTTTCAGGGATGTGCATTAACCAAATTCACTCTTTTTCATTAACTTTAGACAAATGTTTTTATACATTTTTATTTTTTGGCATAGAAAACAAAACCAAAAAAACCCTCCAAACTCTTATGTTTTCTATGTAGTTCCAAAATCTTCACATTTGCCACTGTTTACAGACAGCATACCTCTCCGTGCCTGCTAACCTTCCTCAGGGTTTGGTCGACTAGGATGATGCCAGTAGCTACATGTGAAGAAACTATTTGTTCTTCTCCTTAGGCTACTCTCTTGTCTGTGCCACCGTTCTTTAACAGGAACCACCCTGTTAAAAGGTATGTTGCATTCTTCTCCTGGTAACAAGTTACTAGATTTCACCCTTGGAAGGTGGTTGGTAATATCACAGACCTTTCCTCAGGTCCATGTCACCACTAATGTTTTGGCCTTTTTCTTTTTTAACAACTTCATAGTATATGTTTGTTTTTGCTTTTTTGGTAGCAAAGCTGTACATTTTCCATGCAATAATTTATTCTCTGTTTCTTCATGTCTAAACTTAAGTCTAGGTGACAAAAAGACCATTTTTGGGCGACAAGGTCTCTCTCACCACATATAAACAGTTTAAAACTTAAAATTTAAGCTAAACCATTATTTAAGAATGCTTTAATACGAATATGGGATTACAACCCCCACGTACTCCTTACAGACAGTGCTGTCTTTAACAATCAAAAACTGTTCGGTATACAAACCTCTCTTGTTGAAATTCTGATCTGCAGTAAGTACATTTTACAATAGGATGCGCAATCCGACATTCCTGTAATAAGACAATATATGAGAATTTATCTCAAAGTCCCAAATTTCACTTTTCTGGTAGAAAATTACCACACAACCTACTCAAATGTCTAAAACATCAATAATACCTGTCCCTCAACGTACACAATTGAGTGATTTATCATATAAGTGGCCAATTACAGCATACTTCCTTAGAGAAGGCATAGGTGTCTTTGTCTTTATTTGATGTAAGGGGTACGCTACAAATAAATTAAAAAAGCTGTCAGGGCCGATTTCAAGGGTTGGTTAAACGTGAAACTACTTAATATTTTGCACCGTTGATCACAGACAGCATCCCGGCTTTAATGGGATGGGAGGAGCTCCAAATCATAGAGCATTCTGTCCCCAAACCAGTCGCTTCGCTTTCCTGGACAGGGAAGAAGGATGCCATCAGCTTTGCGGCTTCAGGTTCCTAGCAAGAAAGTGCAAAAAGCGTCCCCTGCCTCCCGGTGGAAGGAGAGGACAGACGAAGCAGAAAACCGAGATGAAAACATCTCCACCCCAGGGTCTCTGCGGCATAGACAGGTGGCTGCCTTCACTCAGCCCCACCCCTGAGACCCCTGAATGTTGTTGGGGCCCGGCCCCCTCCTGGGACGCCTTGGAAGAGGGCAAAATTTGGTCTTCCTCTCGGGGGCCTTTCCCATCTGAAACCCAGGTCCTAGGATAAAGGGGTCCCGGGTGAGGAGGCGAGAGCTCCAAGCTCCCAAGGCGCCGGCGAAAAGAGCCGGGCTGCAGTGCAGCGGGCACCCAGCTCCCTCGGGCTCCGACCGAGGAAACCCCGCCCGCCCTCCCGCCGCCCAGCGCCCACGGACCTTGCAGAGCTGCTGGCCCTGGGAGAGCTCCTCGAAGGGGTAGCGCTGTGTACACTTGGTGCAGGCGTACAGGGCCGAGGCCGCCATCCTGCTCCTCAGTCTCCTCCTCTCCTCCACCGCCGCCCGCTCCGAGGCGGGGCCCTACGGGGAACTCGGGCGCCGCCGCTGCCGCCGCCCGGGCCGCGGGCTCCTCCTCCTCCCCCTCCCCTGCCTCGCGCCCACCAGAGCCTCGGCGCGACAAGCCAAGGGCCTGCGGTCGGCACTGTCTCCCTCCGCCTCCACTTCCGCCCCCAGCCCTCTCAGTGACGCCGTCCCAGCCGCTCCTGCTTAGGCCCTTATAGCGGCGGAGGGAGACGAAGAGGATAGTTCGATGCGGTTTAGCTGCGCGGCAGCGGATCCGCTTCCTTCTCGGCCTCCCTTCCCCATCTCTGATTGGCTGGGAAGGCTACCGCGTCACTCGATCGCTCCTCCCAACCCCTAACCCTGGGTACGCAGGGAGCTCCCACAAAGGGAGGAAGTTGCTGGCCAATGACAGCCCGTCGCTATCAGCGCGCGAAATCCGCTTCAAACTCGCCCCGCCCCAAGGCGTCTGTAGGTAGCAGCCAGTCCCAGGTTTGAGTGAGAACTCCCCAATCCAATTGGGCAAGCGTTGACGAAGGTTTACTCTCTGCCTCCAGTCTTTTTTCCCCTTGACTTCTATTGGACCAAACCATTAAATCCCCTCCTGATTCTTTTTTTTATTGGTCAAAAGCTAAGTACTTCGCCTGCAGAGTCGACTCTGAGTAGGGCTCACGCTCTCTCCGGCGTTTAGTCCAAAGAAACTGATGGAGTGTTTGAATTTCGTATTCGCTTTTACTCTGTTTCAGTCATTTGATTCAGTTGCCACTGGAGACACCAAAACCCCAGCCTCACGTTTCCTCCTCGAGGAGGGCAGCCCCTTCGTAAAGTCCCCTCAGAGCGGTCCGGTAGCCGGCAGGATCCGCGGACCCCGCAGGGTCGATACGAGCTACCTTGTGACGTCACGGGGGAAGAGGCGGATTCGCTCCTACTACCGGAAGACGTCCGCTTTTTTGATTGGCTATTCAAGACGTCCGTTAGGACGTTGTTGCCTTTCTCGTGTGCACCCCTGAGCGTGGGCGTCCCCGTGGGGGTGTGCGCAGGGGTTTCCAGATCCGGCACCAGCCCCTTCCATCTGGGGTTCGGTTTAGGGTCGCCCCCGGTGGGCGGCTCTGGAATCTTGAGGAAGAGCTTGAGAACCCGGATCCCCCCAGGGCTGCGGAGGTCCTTTGGGAAGGCAGGAAGATGGCGGCAGCATCGGTGTCTGCGACTTCTGGTTCTCAGTTCTCGGTAAGAAGCGGTTGACCTTCGAATAGGCTCGGTCCTGGCGCCTCTCTGCTTCCCTCACCCTCCAGAGTGCTCTCGGCCCAGAGTCTCCTCCCATCCTGGGAAACGGCCCGGGGTGCCTGGTCGCTCCGCGCTCCCCTGACTTCCACTGCTCCTCTGTGTAGGCTGCTCCCTTAACGTCGCAATAGGCCTGGCCGCCTCCATCCCTGTGCTCCCCTCACCTTCTGGCCTAGCAGCCCAGGTTGCCGAACATTGCCGGGATTCGCTGGGATGGCTACCCGCGCCCTGGCCTTGCGAAAACGGTGCGGCTTTGGTCACGTGGGTGTAACGGCCCCTTCTGGAAACTCCGAGACCAGGTAGGCGCGCGGGTCGGCTTCTTTGCAGCTGCGGCCCAGCCCGCAGTCTCAGGTGCTTACTCGTTGCTCCTGGTGCTGATTCCCGTGCCTGCAGTGCCTCCCCTCGTGCATTCCCGGTAGCTTTGCGGTCGCCTGTCCTACCCGGAGCGCGCGCTTCGGGCCGCCAGTATTACTTTGCAACGTGGACGCGCTGTTTTAGGGAGGCGACGGGGGAAGCGGAACCTTAATACAGTTCTCGTCTCCACAAGGGCCACCAGCCTGTTCAGTCACTATTATTTGTCGAGTTGGAGTGTCGAGTGCAAAGCGTTTGGGCCTCCGCGGCATTGGGAATAGGCAGAGAAGGCGAGGGGGCTCCGGGGAGAGCCCTTAGGTCTTCAGTTAGCTACTGCTGAGTGCCTGGCGGACTTGCAGGCGCTGAGGTGACACAGGTGGATAGGATGGACTCCCTGCTCCGAAGAAGCAGACACTGCAGAGAAACGACATGTAACTGGGTTGTTCCCCAGTTCTGTTTAAGAAATGCTGCTATACTGGAATAACCTGGGCCAGAGTGGTTGGCAGCGCCTGGGAGAGGCTAGAAACGGGTTTCCTAGTAGGGAAGATGGAGCTGGCTAGCTGGCTGGGGAGGGAAGTGTAAATGCCTGTCACCAGAACTGAACGGAAGAAAAAGGCACCTCGGGCATTTCTGGGTATGTGCCAAGGCAACAGGAGCTTTCTGGGAAACTGATGTGGAATGAGCAGAGGTCGTGTGGAGGTAGATTTGGGTTGCACGAATTGTGGAAGTGGGTAAAAACATGAGAAAAGAGGGATAGGGAAGAAAACGGGAGGTTGTCAGGGTAAAGTTATGTCATAGACGCTGGGCGGAGGGCGTAGTTTAGGGAGCACGAAGAGCAGAGTTAGTTTGGGGAAGACGAGTTTTGCTCAGTTTCACCTTCTGGTGACTTAAGATTTGTGATATCGGGTCTAACTTAAGAGTTTTAGCAGGATGGGAGTAACCCGTTTGCAGAGTGGTCAGGGAAGCTCAAGGAGAAGGAATGAATGAAGCACTTAGAGTTTATTCCGGAATTAGGTCAGTGAAAGGGAATAGAGAAAAGAGGAACTATTAGAAGGAAGTATCTGTAAGTAGTTGAATAAGATATAGGAGTTGTAATTAATTAAATTTAATTGGGAGAAGAAGGCTTTTCACTGCTTTCAAAACTTAGACTGAGCAAGACATACTCCTATAAATGTTAACGGAGCTGTAGTCTGCCAAGTCCATCTAGCTGTGCAAGGGTACTAGGATGTACCTTAGCCCTTCAGGTAGCCTGTACGTAAATTTAAGGGAATGTTCAGTAGGAAAGCACATATATTTTTAAATGCTAAGCTCAGCTTTCGGTAGATTCTAAATATCAGTAATACAGGTTTCAAATATCTAGGACATTTGGAAGTCAAAGTGTAACAACCTTCTCAATTTGCCTTGCTACATCACAGTGTCTCAAAACAAAAAAATGACTAAATTTAGTTTGTCAGTGTGTAAGAAATGGCCCTGCGTAGACACTTTAATTGTCCTGTCAAATAAGGCTGGCATTTACAACAAAACTTAAAAAGCATTTTAGCTTAAGAAACAGCTGATCATGAAATAAGACCACACAAAAACACCTTTTAAAACTACGGCATAAACTCAGAGACTACTCATTCAGATTTTAGAGTTGTGAGTATTAATAATTCATATAGGGGCGCCTGGGTGGCTCAGTCAGTTAAGTGTCCGACTTCGGCTCAGGGCATGATCTCTGGTTCATGGGTTCTGTGCTGACAGCTAGCTCAGAGCCTGGAGTCAGTCTGTCTGTCTGTTTGTCTGTCTCTCTCTCTCTCTGCCCCTCCCCCACTCATGTTCTGTCTTTCTCTGTCTCAAAAATAAATAAACTATAAAAAATTTTTTAAAAAATTCATATATATTCATCACTGATAAACCCAGCTTGGAGCTAGCTAGTAGTGCCCAATAGAGGTGCTTTTACTAGGCAAGGATTTTTACCAGATACATTCACAAATAGCATTCTTTTGGAAGCAGCTACCATGTAAATCTCAAATGTGAACAAGATGGATGCAAGTGATACATTCAGATCGTTTTAAGTATATTTTGCAACAGCAGCAAGCAGAGTAACAACAGCAGGTAACTTTTACTGAGTGATTGCTGTGTATCATTTTGCTAGTGGCTGCCTCAGGAAAGCAACTTTGATTGGGCACAGCGATTTTCAGTAAAAGTATAGGCAGCATAATGTTCAAATAGAAGAATGTCTTTCCTGTCACTCCTTTTTTATTTTCCCTGTAACCGTAGTCAGAACTCTACATGTAACTTGGGACTTAATAAGCTAATCTCCCTAACTGGTCTCTGGCATTTTAGCCAGGCCCTTTAACTCTTTTTTTCTCTTAAAAGTTTTATGAATATAACATAGGTTTTTATAATATTGAATATATAAAACATTTACTTTGGAGAATGATAAAATTAATACCTTTAAGTTCCTTTTTACATCTTCCAGCTTTTGTCTCACATATACACCACCACTATACATTTTGAGATTATAATAAAATAAACTTATATAGCATTAATTGGCAGGTGTGATTTTAAGTGCTTTTCATATATTAGTATGGAAATCTTTAGTATTTCCATTTTTGAATGAGGAACAGAGAGGTTAAGATTACTCAGCTGGTACATCACAGAGCCAGTTTGTTCATTAGTTTGCCAACGATTCAAAAACCGTTCGCTTGTGATCCTTCCCATATGTTCCACAAGTGCAACGATTTCTCTAGAGCAGCAGTTTTTAACGCATGATCAGAAGATCTTTGGGAGGTCCCTACGTCCCACCATGGGGGTCTACAATTACTTTCCTTACCCAGCCACTTTGTGGGAGACCAGATTTTCTTAAACATCAGCCAAATTAACATATCTAGCAGAGTGAATGCAGAAGCAAATGTAGGAATCCAGCAGGCTTCTTTTAAGTTAAGAATTAGAGAAATTTATAAAAATATCTTTTCATTAAAGTTTGTGGATGATAGTTATTTTTCATTAAAAATTATATTTATGGTAACATCATGAGTATATTGTTTTTAAATTAGTATCTTAACATTTAGGCGTAACCCACACGAACAAAGGTCTTTGGGTTCTTAAGTAATTTTTAAGAGTGTGAAGGGGTCCCTAAACCCAAAATGTTTGAGAGGGACAGCAGTCGTTTTGAAACTGCAAGTTGAGCTGTGGGTTATAACTTGGTGGTGGATGGTGGAATATGTTTAGTGACTTGACATAATCAGTTTTTTAAAAAGAGAGGAGAGAGAGAAAAAATAGCTCGGCACATTTCCTGTGATTGAAATTGCAGGTCATAGAAGGTGCATCTTTGGCTTTATTTGGTAATGCTGAATTGTTTTCCAAAGCAGTTGTACCAGTATGTTCCCACCGACAGTCACCTTTAATCCACATCCTTTTGAACAGGTGGTATTGTCTCACTTTTGAATTTTTGCCAAGAGGAGTGTGAAATGCTATCCTGTTCTCACCTGTGCTCCTCTGATCAATGATGAAGATAAGATGCACTTTTTATTTTTTCATAATTTTACTAGTTTTTCATGTTTATTTTTTCCTTCCATGAAATGCCTGCTTGTGTGTTTTGCCTGTTTTTAGTTGGTCTGTCTTTTCCTATTGATTCATAGTCATTCTTTATGTATTCTAGATGTTAATCATCATCTGTTAGCTGAATTTTAATTACTCTTTGGCTTGTCTTTTTAAGATACCTTTTGATGGAAGTTTTTAATGTTCATGGGATAAAATGTATTAGTCTTTTTATGTTTAGTACTTATTGATTAAGAAATTCTTATACCCTATGTCATTAATGATGTTAATGACGTTCTTACATATTTTTCTCTACAAGTTTTGAAGTGGCACCTTTTAAGTCCTTAGTTTGCTTGAAATTAGTTTGTGAGGCAGGGACCCGGTTTAATGTTTCTACTTGAGATCCACAATTTCTCCAAAATTACTTGTTAGACTTACCTTTTACCCAGTGGTTTACATTTCTAGCTATCAATAATATTGATTTCCATATCTGTGTGTATGTTTCAGTGGGCTCTCTGTTCCAGTGTTATATTTGTCTCTCACTGTCTTAATCATTCTCCTTTCAATTTGTCTGAGAGAGTGCTTGTCTTCCTTGTTCTTTCAGGAAAAATGTTAGCAATTCTTGGCCCTTTGCATTCTTTAATAGAAATTATAAAATCTGCCATTGGAATTTCAATTGAAGTTGCATTGAATTTCAGGCTCAATTTGGGAATAACTGATGCTTTTAAAATATTGAGTCTTCTATCTGAACATACCCTGTTACTCCAGGTTTTTTTTTTTATCTTTAACACTTTTCGGTAAAGTTTTATAATTTCAAGTCTTGTGAATCATTTATTAAATTTACTTTTAGTTTGTTTTTAAATATATTTTCATAAATTGCATTTTATAACTGGTATGTAGAATTAGTATTCATTCCTTTCATATTAATTTTACTCAGCCACTTTTTCTAAACTCGAATTCTTTTTTTAAAAATTTTTCTAAGTTTATTTTTGAGAGAGATAGGGACAGTGTGAATGTGGGGGGGGGGTTGGGAAAGGAGGGAGGAGAGAGAGAGAGAGAGAGAGAAAGAGAAT